GCAATCTTACGCCCGACGAATGGATACATAGTTACAAATTGCCGTGCCGGGACATTCTCTACTGTATGCCATGATATAGTCGCATGGCCACTGAGCGCAGAAACTTGGGGTTGACCTCCGGGACTGGATATCTGCCACGGTTCACTGACATATTGATATATTAAACGGCCATTTAGTATCTATATAAATATACCTTGAACATCAAACGAAAAAAAAAAGCCTGGTTGGCATAAGTGATATGCCAGGTCAGGCCTCAATGGCTTCCAGAGATAGCGAGGGGGTTTACACCTCTCATGCTTTGACAGATACTCCTTACCAGACTCTTGTGTCCCGTCAGTCGCTGAGCTGGATAGATTCTCCTCCCAAGCCGTCCTCGTTGCGGCTCGATCCAGCGGACAGCCATGAGTCTCGCGGCAAGCTTGATGCTTCCGGTGAAGAATCCATTTCTCCCCTTGACCCCCGACGGTTCACTCCTACGCTACATGCCTCCCTGGTCTCGGAGATATTGTCCTTGCGTCGGGACCTGGAAGGCAAGTCTAGTGCTATAGAGTCCCTGGAGCTTAGCCTAGAGGCCTCCAGATCAGATGAAGAGTCTCTGAAACAGTCACTTGCCATCCATGCAAAGGAGAACAGGACGCTGAAGAAGCAGATACAGCTGCTAGAGGGCGGGTCCCTCAGCGCTGTCACCGAACTCACCAAGGAGAGAGACGATGCATGGGAATCCATAGCTGAATCGAGACGAAGGTTGGAGGATGCCCAGAGGAATGCTAGGCTGTATCAAGATCAAGCCGAACGGACGCAGGAACTGTGGGATGCTGATCGTCAACGATGGGACGATGACAAGCGGAAACTTGAAACTAAGGTGCATATTGTCGAGGGACGCCTTAAGACGGTTATCAATGAGATCACTCTCTCGTCTCAAGCTGCCCAGAGGAAGCATAGCGAAGCCCATAACCACCCCGATGGACAGCTAAACGAGCCGGGCGTCGACACGGTCGATTCCACAACTCCCCGGGCCATGGACGCAATGAGCCTTCGATCAAACAGCCCGGTTGCAGGACGAAGAGGCAGCAACTCCAGTGTCAGCACCTACAGCAGCTCCAACCACCTCCGGAGCTCGGTCATGGGACTTACCAACGGTACAAGCCTAGTAAGCGCCAGTCTTGCCGATGAGCTGGCCTGCGAGGAGACCGAAGACGAGGATATGGAGAGGCCTGGTAGCAATTGCAGGGCCTTCTCCAGAGCTGAAACAGAACCCTTTTCGTCCGCGCACGAACCACGACCAATGTCAAGCCAATCCATACTCACTGGCCAAAAGGCAAGGAAAATCTTGGGTCTTGCATTTGATACATCGAGCGCTCAAAGCTCTCCGGTTAGAGACCATTGGTCAAATCCAGCTTCACCAAGATACAATAATTACCGCGAGATGCCAGAGACGCCAGTCTCCAGAAGTTATCGAGATGTTGGAATACAGTTTACTCCTCCTCCCTCACCTCTCGGAGATGCAGCAGTGGTTAATGGAATTCATCGTCCATTTACACCCCCGCTGTTACCGGAGGCTCCCATCACACCCCCGGCAGCAGATGATTTGGTAGGTGTAACAGAGAAGACTACTCGCGTCTACGAAACGTTTGACATAGGAGTTCAAACCCGCCCAGCTGTTGTAACCTCCACCGAATGCCAGACTCTTGAGGACTTCCCCGAGACTCAACCTCAGCCAGAACCGGCTGATGAACAGCAAGATCAGGACACAATGGTATCCTCCTCCACTCAAACTGAAGAAGACCAGGCGCCCAAAAAAGAATCCCCCCCGGGGACCCCGCAGTTCAATATTCCAATGATTGCGATTCATCCTCCATTATCAAACCCATCCACTCCTCGAACCAGCGTTGTCCTCCCCCCACAAACGAAGAGTGCCTGCTCCCAGACGCTTCCTGAGCCTCAATTGGATATGAAGTCATCTGGAGTCCAAACTGATGAAATGCGCGAGGTCAAGAGGCCCACTCGTCTGCCCTTCGACCTGCTTCCATCCGCCCTTCCGGACCAGTCAGTGGAGCCAACCCCTGATACAATGAGGCCACCAGTGGTATACCAGCCATATCGCCCACCCCCCGCAAATACTTCGACTACTACTCTTCGACTACGAGAGGCCCCGCCCGTTGACATGCCAATATCACTATACCCTGGTAATAACGATAACGGCCCACTCACTGGAGACATGCAAGGCGACATCAGACGCCCCTTTAGGTCCAGTAGCTTGTTTGCTGGGTTCGACCACGAAAGTGACGACGACGCAACCCGTCTGCCTGTGGAGGAGGTATTCAATGACGATGAATCAATACTCAACCGACCAATGGCATCGTATACCATCAAGATGGGGAAGCTAGTATCGAAACCTTCCAGTCGCTCCATCCTCGATGAGAGCCCCATGGAAGCACACGAGGATGAAGAACCCGTGGTTGCTCAGATCACCGGCGATGAAAAACGTGCTAGTGGTAGCCTACGACGGTCCTCTGCCACGCGCGGGAAGACCTCCACCAGAGGGTCATCAAGAATCACCAAGAAATCAGCCCCCTCCAGGCAGACGTCTAACAGTAGAAGGGCTGCCAGTGGATCAAACGCGGCAGATTCAAGACCAAGAAGCCCTCAGACTTCCAACGTTACTAATACAGCAAATGTTGGTTCCCGTCCTCCATTCCCTGTTCCAACCCGTCTTAGTTCCCGCAAGGTTCCTTCTATGAACGAAGATGCTCAAAGTCCGACTCCGAACGGGGGCGGTGGATCAATATCAGACCATAGCATGATGGGGCGAGATTCCACACTCCGAAAGATACGGTCAGCAGCCGCGGTGTCGAGACCGTACTATCGTGATGACAACACTAATTCGCTTCGCTCTCCTACTTCCACGACGACCTCGCTTGCAGGTAGGGAGAGCCCGCCATACCCACACCGTCTGCCTCAGTCTCTAGATCGAATTTCAATATCCAACAAATCTCCGAGTTTCAGTGACTCGCGCCGGCCATCGAGGGGCGGAGAGTCTTACCATGAGCGCAAAGCCTCTTCTGCCGTATCGGTGCAGCAGACAAGTGTTGTTGATGCTATAGCCCAGACTATGATTGGAGAATGGATGTACAAGTACGTCCGCAGAAGAAAGTCCTTTGGAATGACAGAGGCTCCAAAGGACAAGGATGGAGGTGAAGGCGGGAAAAACTCGGAAGAGACATCCACAAATATCTCTGGAAATGGCGTTCGTCATAAGAGATGGGTATGGCTCGCCCCTTATGAAAGGGCTGTTATGTGGAGTAGCAAACAGCCGACGACTGGATCTGCTTTGCTGGGCAAGAGCGGTCGCAAATGTAGGCATTCCTTATCCCCAACATACAGCAATTTGCAGCTAACATATCAAACCAGTAATCATCCAATCCGTCCTTGACGTAAAGGATGATAACCCCTTGCCCCGTGGTGCCTCACAGCAGATTTCATTCAACCGTTCAATCTTGATATTGACTCCCCAAAGAGCCTTAAAATTCACTGCACTAACCTTAGAACGACATTACGTCTGGTTGACTGCCCTGTCTTTCCTGAGCCACTCATCCCTGGGTCTCGATGACCTTGCAACTCTACCGCCAGTTCCTCAGGTGGAATCAGGACCACGGCCACTTACTGCAGCACTACGCCGAAACCCCATCCGTGACTCAATCAGGGTAGCCAAGGGGAAGACCCGACAGGTACCCAACAAGTCTCGTGCAGGAGCACCTGCTCAAGCCACCGTGCCAGAGGAGTCGTTCCCTGAAATGCCGGGTAGGCCAAGCAACGGCGGTGACTGTGCCGCACCTCCCAACGTTCCCAGATTCGCAGCACATTCCAGAAAACGAAGCAACACCGCTCCTAAACCTCTATCAAACCCATTCAGGTCTTTCTCTGGCAATACGGTTGCTCCATCTACCTACAGTTCAACTACTTCTGGGTCTTCTGACCTCCAGTCACCAACCTCTGTGGCTCATTCGGGCGTACACAGCGGACAGAGCAGCTTCATTCATCGCACCTCTGAAGCCAGTGGACATCCTGCCCCCGGTATAGCAAACTTCTTTGATGCCGTTGGTACCGTGAGAATGGAGGCCTTTGTTGACAAAAGCGATGTGCCACGTCAGCGTGGCTATCGTGGAAGGAAGAAGGATTACTGGCCCCAGAGTCCCGATCTTGAATTCCGTGAATCAGACGGCGGAGGAAACGATTTCTTCCGAAATTATAACCCATTCAGGGGATTCTAACCGTCTATTCCACCTACACTCCGAAACCCCTCTGCTCTACCCTGAGCAATTCCCCTATTTAACGCACTAACTTGCCGCTATGAAATCGCTGGTCTACTTCAGCTATGTAATCTATACCTTTTTGCATTCTTTCTTTTTCCTCAGCTTTTTCATTTTCGTTATGGCCCATCTATCTGGTTTAGGGAATGGGCGGTATTCTGATCTATCGATCATATTTTCTTTTCTTTTCTAACTGGCCCAGTGCTTACTATCTCTTTGGTCTCTCAAAATTTGTTCATATACCCTCCTGTTCTATGTATATCTTGCAAGGCGGAATGGAGGCAAGGCGCTTTGTTTATGGATATCCCAGTCCTTGCCATTGGCTACTAACACATGTGTACCTTGCTTGCTTTCTACGTCTCCATTCGTTACACAGTCCACTTTTCTTTCCAACCGGTTGATCTGACTCATTTTCTTTAACTGTGTTAAGGAATTCGCATCAAGCGAGTATATTTATTCCCATCAAATGCTACATTTTGATAATATTGAAAATATTCCAATTCTTGGTAGTACATGTACTTCATTTAAAGGGCTATAATCGCGATGCCAAATCCGTGATACTTCGGATGTATCCTTAGGATTTAAAATTCGAAATCCAGGGGTTAAGGCTAAAAGATGATGCTGCACAAAGCACACTTTACATGTAGAATATTCACATCTGGTGTGACGCTGGTTCTTTGACCGCAGTTGAAGCTCCTATCATCTCTCCAACATCATCAGGGAGGTCATATAGACACTCCTCTGGCATTTGCTTTTTGGCTTCACCCAGTTGGCCAGATGAAACCAAGCCCGACACCTTGCGTATCTGCTCCGTGATATCCGTGATCGATACGATCCATTCATCCACGTATCGATCAACAGCGTCTCCCTTTAACCCAATTTGTATTGACCGATAGCCAAGAGGGTTGAAGTGGAAATCTCGTTCGGGGTCCCATTGGACCCGGACACAGGAGGCTTGCATGCGCGATTCCCAAGCTGACTTGTCTTTATAGAGCGAGTTATCGACATGGCTCAAGCAAGCATTGCGCAGTGCCCATTCGAAGCCAGAGCGAGTGATCTCGATTGCTAGAACCCGCTCTTGGTTAGGCTTTGTGGCCCATCCGCTTCGATATGCAACCCATAGAAATGAGGGCTTGATCCAGGTCATTCGACCACGTTTAAAGGGGGCAACAAAGGTCCCTGCTCCCAGTGCAGCGTCTGCTATCTCGTTCGAGTATGCTTGGTAAATGGTAATGGTGTTTTCAGTAAACTTTGCCCGGATGGCACGGTAGGGGTTGCTGTCCGTCATTTTATATATGAGAAATTGAACTTGGTACTTGGGGGTAGTAGAGTGGATCATAGTGATGGTATAGACTTGATATCAGATGTTGAATGAAACACCCAGGGATAGCCAGAGAGTAATGGGAGCACTTAAGTAATTGTTGGTAGCCAATACCATCAATGAGTCACTCTCAGCCGCATATAATATACATTTCGTCTAAGCAAATTTAAGTCCGTAGACTACGGTGAAAGCTGAAATAGCGAGTTAAATGGTCAAGTAGCCTAACTATGTATGGACTCCGCGTAGAGGTTGAATAGATGTTGGAGGCGGCTATACATACCTAATAAGGCCTAGGGTCAGCGTGCAGCTTTATGAGGATGGCGAATAATAAACGGATAACATATATGCTTGATTCTGTCTCAGACACATTGATACATACAAAGTTCCAAGGAGATATCGTTATCTCAGGTCTAATGTCTATTGAAAAGCTCAAGTTTGTATTACCTCCAAACTTTGGGGTTGCTTGAGTATGAAAGACATGAACAACCACGAAAACAAGAACTCCCTAGTAAAGCCGGGCGATACGTTGATAACACCATATCCGAGTCGACATGGCCTTACTAGAGTGGTATAGAGGTTCAAATAACACCATGGCGCAACGTTCGGTATTTCTGTTCGTAATGTTGATAACGGTAGGAGTATCACTATAGCTTCGCCTCCTCTTTGACCTCACCAATCTTTAATTTGGCACCGTACTTCTTCAGGACGCCATCCCCATGGTACTATGGAATATTATCAGTAGCCACTCAAGGATCCGGCAGAGAAATCCTGAATATTGCAGTTACTAACCTTCCAGAACTGCTTTGAAGCGTCCTTGCCAGCAACTCTCTTTAATATTCTAGAGCCGCCAGGGTGCTCCTCAATAAAGTTGGTGATATCATACACAGACGAATCAACAATGATATATAGGCCAGACTCGGGAGTCTTGTGCTTTGCGACTTCAGCTACAGTAAATGTTTTTGTCATATCGGGCAATTTGCGATGGAGTTGTAACTATATTTTTGGTTAATATTCCTGATTTAAGGTGATACATTGGGGTTGCCATTCTGACATCATTCCCTTACCTAGTGAATGGAGATATAAAGACGTGTATATATCGAAAAGATGCTTGTCATGGACTTGGAGGTAGCAGGAAGTTGAATGACATGCTATCTCCATAAAGCCGAAATGCAGACGACCATGGCGGAGAGCCGAGGCACGACCAGAAATGATCAGGTGATCGATAGCAATTAGACCAATAAAAAACAAGATATTGTCACTAAGTCATCTGACTGATGATTAATAAAGTTATGTGATTTTATTCATATCACATGATATGTAGCTGATGACTAATGGAAATATTTCCTAATACGGTAATAAATTACTTAATAATATGGTTTATATTTTATGAATGATAATACGGTATAAAAAGAGAACAGCGAATAAAATGCTATAAATACAAGTACACCTTGTATGATATGCTACTATATATACACTTGATCGTATTAGATGGTAGTTGGCTTCAACATTGCTATCGTACAGGGTTACAGGCTATGATTTTGCTTTCTCTGTGGTATGCTGTCCCTTTGGCTTACCTAAACCAAGAGTCTCAAGATCTTTCTTCTTATGATAATGAGGAGCAACCTCGGTTAACCATTCTGGTTGCAGCGGCATATTGCTACGCATGAACTCCTTGCTAGTCAACACTAGCTCGAAGTAGATAACCCATTTTGGATCTGTTCCAAATAGAGTGCTTGATGGGTGAAGGTAGACAGTCTGGCCATTTTTGACAGTTCGATAACTGTCTCCTCCACGCTGAAGCCGTGCGGCGTTAGGGAAGAAGCCTGCTGTCACAGCTTTTTGGATCACAGGGAGGTTGTTTGCTCCTGCGCTGCTAAGGGTAACTTCAACACGGTCACATAACCTAGCAAGTTGGTCCCTAACATCACGGGCACGGGTCAAGCTTCTTTGCTGGAGGAAGTTTTCCCTCGCCCAGACGTAGCTGAAATCAGCATCTACCCATTGATTCCAGATGTTGAGAAGAGTTAGGTGGTCACCCCCATCTTTGACAGTGAATCGAGCCCGAGCACTGTCTGCATGAATCTTCTTATCTTTGGGCCTGTAGAAAAGTGCACTTGCCTCTCCCAGCATGGCAATGATGGATAGGATCTCCTCAACACAACCGTACTTGTCTGCTGCCAGGATTGATTTCGAGAGCATGGGATCTGTTGGAAACTCTGCCATCTGACGGCCAACTTTTGTAAGTTCTCCACGGTCGTTCAAGGCTCCCAATGCATAAAGCTGTTCAAGAGCACGAATCAATGTTTCGGCCGGAGGTGGATCCATGAAATCAAAATCAAGTAGGTCAGTTATTCCCAGTGAAGTCAACATAAGCACCACACCGCTAAGATTTGTGCGCTGGATCTCTGGTGTGGTATTCTGCTCAAGTTCGTTATAATACGCCCACTTGGTATACAAACGGAAGCACTTCCCGGGGCCAACACGACCAGCACGACCAGCTCTTTGACCGGCAGATGCCCTGGAACAGGGGGTAACAACAAGGCTTTCCATTCCAGTGCGGGGATTGAAGACGCTCTCCTTGACGAATCCTGGATCGATAACGTATACAATGCCGTCGATAGTTAAACTTGTCTCAGCAATATTTGTAGCAAGAACAACTTTTCGAGCTCCCGGAGGAGTGGGCTCAAATATCTTTGTCTGGAGCTCGGAGGGCAAATTTGCGTAAATAGGGCAAACAACTAGCTCCTTGATTTTATTTCCAAGCTTCCGGGCCGTTTCCAACAGATTTTGTTCCGCTGATTCAATTTCTTCTTGGCCTGTCAAAAACACTAGTATATCACCAGGTCCCTGGGAGATATGGATTTGAAAAACTGTTGTTATTGCGGCTGCCAGGTAATTGGCCTCGGGCTGAGATGTATAATGGATATCAACAGGGTATCTCCGGCCGGGGATATTAAATATAGGGGCATCATCAAAATACTTTTGAAACTTTTGTGCATCCATTGTAGCGGATGAGATAAGAAGCTTTAAATCCGGTCGAGCTTTAGCAATGTCTTTCAATAAGCCACAAGCAATATCCGTCGGGACTGTACGCTCATGGGCTTCATCAATCATGAGGGCAGAGTATGAAGCAAGATCTGGCTCCATAAGCAGTTCACGTAGTAAGCGACCATCAGTCATATACTTTAATACCGTCTTATCGGAGGTGGTATCCTCAAATCGAATAGAGTATCCCACTTCATCACCGAGCTTAACGCCTACTTCCTCTGCCACACGTGCGGCAACACTCATGGCAGCAACTCGTCGTGGCTGCGTACAGCCGACCTTCATGCCACCTTTTGTATATCCTGCTTCATGTAAATATTGAGGGATTTGAGTTGTCTTTCCGCTACCAGTTTCACCGACGATGATCAAAACCTGGTGGTTAGCTACCGCGTCTAGGATCTGTTCTCGGAATTGATAAATCGGCAGACTTTTTCGAGTTTCTTCTATTGACTTTGCTTTCTGCTCAGCAGCATCAATCTGCTTGTGTAAAAGCATTTGCTCCTTTGTCATAGGCTTCCGGTCACCAGCCATCTTTGAATCCATGATAAAGTTCACTTTCTGCGCATCATCGAAAACGTACTCATAATCTCCTTCATCAACGAAGTCTGCTTTTTGGATCTGAGCCTTAGCTTTTGCCGTTTGCTCAAGTTCCCATTCTTCATGCTCTGTGACAAAACGTTCCTTTCCATGGTCGTCACGGTCAACATATCGCTTATAAAGCGCTTCTTCTTTTCGCTTCCGGTCTATCTTCCCTTTCTCCGTTATGTAGTCCTCAGGGAGGAAATAGCCATCTCGATGGTCATCGATTTGCAGTCGCTCCTCGGCTAGCCTTAAAACCTCCCTGTTCTTTGCAAACTCTTCTTTCTCCTGTCGTGTCAAGTCAGGATTTTCTCGAAGTTCTGCTGTCTCTTCCGCAACTTGTTTGCGCAACAAAGCTAGGCGTTCAGCCTCTCGCTTCTTTAGATAGTCCTGTCGAGAACGTAATCGAAGATCGGGCATTGCAGCTGCCCTAGCAGCCGCGTCCTCCGCAAGTGCTCTTCGCGACGCTGTTCCGCCATCTTTCTTAGATGACCTATCTTCAACCACTTTTCTGGACCGTTTATCATCCTTTGAGATAAGCCGTTTAGCAAACTCATCCCGCTCCCTCCTATCACGCTCCCTCGCCTTTTCAGGGTCTTCCTCAGAGTGGTCAAAAGTCTCAACATCTTGGGAAACATTGACTTTACCCGGCAAATTCTCTGCGGGAGACTCGTATTGTTCTTCATCGCCTGAAGGGGGTTCTTCATCGCCCCATCGGCTCTCAAAATCGTGTTTATCTATTCGGCGAAGTTTCCGAGGTCGATTGTGTTCTCGTCCATCCGCATGACTATCCCTTTTCTTATATTCACTACTGCCATCACTCCTATTCTTTGCTGTAGATCGAGACCTGGACGATCCTGACTCCCTTGATTGAGGTTTGCTAGGATTAAGATCGTTATCCGCTATTTCGTCCTCCATTCCAACCAAGCGATACTTTTTCTTCGGTTGTTGCTGGGTGGGCTTGTCCTTTGAAGATTTGCCGTCTCTCCCCGAGGGATTCACACGACTCCATAACTGCGTACAGAAGGGCTGTATGTCTGCATTTCCACCATCCAAAAACACCCCAAGTTGTTCGCGCAGAGACTCTTGTGATTTAGCCTTTGAAGCAGTTGCAAGGACGAAATCAACGACTGTAGGGTCTGAAACTCCGGTGAGTTGAAGGAGGGAATCTGAGATGTATGTCTTGATGTCCATAGTGAGCTGCGTTCGAGCACGATGCGATTGTGATTTGAAGATCGAGGCGTATCATGGGTATCCTAATCAAGTAACGAGTGTAAGCAAGTCAACATATGGCTATAATTTCTGCGCGACCATCATCATGAAGGCAAATGCAAAGTTGGTTG